CATGGTGCAAAAATAATAATTTAACACTTAATCTTGATAAATATAATAATATAACCTTTAGTAAATTGAAAAATCCAGTTTTTAGCTATTGCTTGAACTCTGAAAGGTTAGAGAGGCAGAAGCTAGATGTCACAAAAATCTTGGAGTCTGGCTAGATTCTGAGCTCACTTAATTTTACACGCCATATTGATATCACTACTAACAGGGCTATACGCCTTCTTGGTTTCGTTTTTAGAACATTAAGAGGTTTTGAAAATATTTTCACTTTCAAAGAGTTGTACTGTAGGCTTGTCCGTTCGATTCTTGAGTAGGTATGCAAGTTGTGTATGGCATCCAAATTACTTGATACATAAAGGAAAATTAAAAAGAGTTCAGAGAAAGTTTCTTAGAGGAATAGGTTTTAGATTGGGTATGTCATATGAGGAGATAAATTGTGATGAGATTATGAAATATCCTTTGACATAGGTATCAATGTTATACATAAAATTATTAACAACTTTATAGACGCTGCAGATCTTCTTGCAGCGTATTTCTCCTGTTATTGCGAGAACTAGCTATCTTTTTAATATTGATTTTCATAGGACAAACTAAGGAGCGAACTCTCCATTGAGTAGGATGTAGGTTGACAAATGATGTGTTACGTAGAAATCACAAATTGATATATTTGCAAACTCTCTTAGTAGATTTAATGAGAAAGTAAGACAAATTGTATACAATTAATCAGCCATTTTGTAATTTTTTAATCTTGTTATACTGTAAACTTGTATTTCAATGTCTAGTATCACCGTTTATTGTTATTTTAAATTATTTACCTTTGACTACTGTTAATCATGTTCCAGCTTTTGCTGTGCTTATTTATTTTATTGTAATTGCTAAATGCGTTATTAAAATTTTCATTTTGATTATTTGATTTCAATAATTATTATTGGTTCAAAATAAAATAGTATACATAATTCGGTGGAAAGTTTTCACATTATTGTCTCAAGAATTGGTTGACCTCGGCGCTTCGCACCTCGGTCAACCATAGTAACCGCATGTAATATACTATTGTATAATACTTATATTCCTTAAAAAAACTCCAATTTTTCTGAATCAATCTTGCTGGAAAACTTTTAACATGTACTTCTGGTCTGGTGAGTTTGCCATTGAAGTATTGAGCAGCGCAATTGCGTAATTGCTAGAACTTGAAAGCTTGAATTTTCCGAAATGAAAGGCTTGTTTAAACCGCCTGAACCACTTATGTTAGATGGCAATATTGCTGAAAATTGGAGAAGATTTCACCAGAAGTTTACTGTTTTTCTAAAAGCAACAGATTTGGAGTCGAAAGATGATGAGAAAAAGATTGCAGTATTCTTAAACTTGATTGGTGATGATGGATTGGAACTATTCAATAGTTTGAATTGGTTAAATGGTGATGAAAAGAAGATACAGAAGGTAATACAACAGTTTGAAGATTACTGTTCGCCTAAAACCAATGTCACTTTTGAAAGATATAAATTTAACAGCGTTTGTCAAAAAAAGGGGCAATCGTTTGACAATTTTCTGACCGAATTGCGAAAGGCAATAAAAACCACTCAGTATAAAGATCAGGATGAGATGATACGTGACCGAATAGTCAAGGGAATTCTGGATAAAATGACGCAAGAAAGGTTGAGAGAACCTAAGTTAACTCTGGAAAAAGCTGTTGAGTTTTGCAGGGCCACAGAAGTTAGTAAATCCCAGTCAAAAATTCTACGAAACGATACTCAGGTCCATGCTTTAAGGAATGGATTTGTCAGCACTCACAATAGTGCAATGTGGACCCAAAAAGTGTTGATTGGTATAAGCAGTCAATTGAATTTAAGCTTGATACAGGCGCCGAGATGAGTGTCTTGTCTGTGCAAATGTTGAAAGGTCGTGATCTTGAAAACAAAATGAATCAAACTCGAGTTACACTGGTAGAATATGGTAGCTCGCACTTTGAAATTAAGCCAGTTGATGAAATTTCCTTGTCTTGTAAGGCTGGTGACCGAGTTGCATTAGTTTCGTTTATTGTTGTTGACTTGAAAGATCAATTTCCTTTGCTAGGCCTACAGGCATGTATCGACTTGAATTTAGTGAAAAAACTAGCTAATGTTATGTTAAATTTAATTCAGTAGAGGATCTAGTAAAGTTGTACCCAGATGTTTTTGATGGACTAGGTGAGTTTCCGGGTGAACATCACATTACATTAAAAGAAAATGCAAGACTATGTATTCAGCCCCTCAGAAGAGTTCCTCATGTCTTACGTGACAGATTAAAAATAAGTTAGAACAATTAGAAAGTCAAGGAATAATTCGAAAAGTTGATAGACCTACTGAATGGCTGAATACACTAGTAATTGCTGAGAAAAAAAAAATAAAGACTTACGCCTCTGTCTGGACCCAAAATATCTTAATCTAGTTGTAAAGCGAGAGCACTTCATAATACCAACACCTGATTACTTGATGAAATTTCTGTAGAGTTGTGCGATAAAGAATTTTTCACAGTACTAGATATGAAAGATGGGTACCTATCTTCAAGTCAAAATTAATGAACAAAGTGCAGATGACTGTACATTTAGTACACCATTTGGCAGATTTCAATTTTGCAGATTACCTTTTGGTTTATGCTCAGCTCCAGAAGTATTTCATAAAAAAAAATATGAGCTTTTTGGAGATATTAAAGGCATTAGCATATATTTTGATGATATCATAATTACTGGTCATAATGAGGCTGAGCATGATCAAAACTTACGTTTGGTATTAGAACGGGCTCTAAAATATGGTATAAGGTTCAATACGAGTAAAATTCAATTTAAATCAAAACACGTGAAATTTATGGTTCAAATTTATTCCAAAAATGGCATTAAATTAAAGGAAACCTATGTTAAAGCTATATAATGGAAATGCCAACGCCAAATGATAAGACGGAATTATTGAGGCTTCTGGGCATGGCCAAATTTTTAGGTAAATTTGCCCCAAACATGACTAAAATTACTGCCCCTTTAAGAAAATTGACTAGAAAAGACGATATTTGGGAGTGGACTAATTTACATGAAGACTCAATAAGACGTTTGAAGCACTTGCTGTCTTTAGCCCCGATTTTGACATTTTTTAACCCGAATAAATCAATAGAAATAGAGACAGATGCCTGAAAAGATGGCTTGGAAGCATGCTTACTCCAAGATGGTCATCTTGTGGCATTTGCATCTAGAAGCTTGAGTGTGACAGAACAAAAGTATGCCCAGATAGAGAAGGAAATGCTGACTATTGTTTTTAGTATCCAGAAATTTCATTTCTTCATCTACGGCCTTGATGTCAAAGTAAATACTGATCATAAGCCTCTTGAGGCTATTTTCCGTTAAGATCTATTATCAATAACTCCGAGGTTGCAAAGGATGCGTTTACGTTTGCTTAATTATAATTTAACTGTGTCTTATAAGCCAGGAAAATATTTATATATTGCTGACACATTGTCCAGTGCCTTTTTATGTGAAACAGGTCTTAAATCAGATGGAGAATTTGAATATGTGGTACACTTATTAACTAAATCAGGCCTATGATAGCTGGGTTCGGCTATTCAGCGCAGAGTTGGAGTGGAGTGAACAGAGCTAATGGAGTCACCCCTAATACGGTAAAAAGCAATACCCGAACGGCTGGAGACAACAATGGACACGTGGTTCGACGTAATAGAATTGATTTGAAGGTATCACATAATAAATTTAATCCTAACATTCCTACTTTTATTGAATCTGATATTGCTGATAACAGTGAAAAATGTGATCAGTCTGGTTCTTCGGAACATAATCTAGATGTTGTTCCTGAGACATTAATGATAACAGAGCAAACTTTGCATAGACCTGAACATGACGTCAATAAGCATAATATGCCAAAACATTGTGTAACAGAAAATAAGATAGAGCATACTATGCTTCCTAAGACAAGGTATGTTCGAGTTGTCAAGCCACCGAAAAAATTTAGCTTATAGGAGGGGAGATGTGTGACATTAGAATAAGTGTTGTCTTGTAGACTTATATTATTATGTAGTTATTATTAAAATGTTATTTGTCAGCCTTGTCAAGTGCACACAAGCTAATAGCAGTGGCCTATTGTGTCGGCATGACAATGTTGAATAATAATGTCATTGTTTTTCAGTTCTTGAATAGATTTATACTGCATCAGTTCTAGAGTCTCATTTCTTTCATTCCAACTTATACAAGAGTACATTCATTTAAAAAATGGAAACATTTTCAATCTGATATCCTCCATAGATATGACAACTGGGCATGAAGTCTGAACTTTTCTCGAATAAGGGGAAGAAAGAAGAGACCATCAACACAATACAAAGACCTCTTCATGAGAGAAATTCAAGAGTCAGGAGGCGAACAGTATCACCATTTTCAAAAAGAAGTTCACCGAGTCGCTGAAAAAACTGGGAATGGGAAAATGCTGAAAGGCGAGCTTGGATCAATCCAGCTGAATAAATGAAACAGTAGTAAAGGGTATGAAAGATATATCTATGTAAAGAAGAATCAAGAGACGGTTTTTTTGATGGAAATGGAGGTATTGATCGGAAAGGAAAGTCCAAGGAGCTAGCTGCAATCCTTTCGTTTCAAAATGCTTGTAATGACAAAATGAGATTTCTAAAAGATGCTGGTTTGTATGCTTCTTATCCTTCTATGAAAGAATACATGATGATACATGATAAATATTTGAAGAAAACAAGTTGTTATTAACTTTCCAGCCGATACTGGTAGCAAAACGCAACCAAACCTTCTCCGATGACCTTGCTAAGGTTAGTCTTCGGAAGGCGCCTTTGCCTCTTTCTTGAACCCTGAAGAACTGAAGACGTTCTTCATCTGAAAGCGGTCAACGTAACCGACCACTGTCCTACAATACGACTTTCTCTGCTTATCTTGTGTAAATAAAACGAGAGAGAAATATGAGGGATATTGTTTACAGACTGTGAAATGTATTTTAGCGGCGATCAGCTAGCAGTCGGGCACGGTTTCGTCGTCGGGTTTCGTTCAGTCTGGTTTTAGATATTGAACGTTGAGCGCGAGTGAAAACCGGGGTCAACCAGTATCGTAAAATACGCTACGTTAACGATAAAAGAGTTGGTTGAAATTTTGAATACTTTGTACTCTGCGTGTGGCATTGGCTTTATAGGTTTCAAGAAGTGGACGCTAAAAGGCATTATTTGAATTTGCTGGTTGTGATTTATTTGTGTTAACAAACATGTGAAATTTTTTGGTTGTTGATTTGTGGATTAACAGTTTAATTTTTCGGCAGTTCAAAATTCTGGATTTATTGAATTTTTAAAGTAAGTTTAACTTTTTGAAGCAAAAGTCTATGGCTATACCTACTTTGTTGCGTTATTTGTTTAGCCTGCTTATTAATCTCTTTCCGTCATTTTTTAATTCGTTTTTAATAGAGACTACATCCAGTAATTAGAATTCGACTCAAAAGGCAAGAATAAAACATGATTCCCATTTAAAATTAAATTTTTTTGATTTGACATTTACGATTCACTTAATTCTAGAAATAATTTAGGTATATTTATGCCGCCTTCTGGTACGGGTTATTGGTTCAAAATTGGCCACCCACTATGGATAGGTATAGCCATTCAACGGAAAATATTACATATTAAAATTAACGTAATACATAAGTGGAAAATTAATAATAGACCATCGCAGAAACCTAATAAACTATATTTGATAAGAATTAGGAAGAAAAGATATGACCGAAAAAATTAAATTACACAGGGTGCTTCATTTAAAATTTCAAACTTTATACACACAGAGAGAAATTGGATCACCCTGTATAAACTGAACGAAAAGCTATTAGAAAACACCAAAGATTAATAAGTCTGTTTTAAACAAATAAATAAATACAAATAATAGGCAAGTGATTGGTGAATTTACAACCAATAACCTTCTGTACCTATACCACGATGGGTTTAGTTTACCAAACCTGTTTCTGTTTAAAAACATGACCCTTTTTTACAAATTAACATTAAATTATTCAAAATATTACATGGTGGCAATTCATCTTGTTTCAAAGTTTAAATCAATGTCTGCGCATACCTATTTAAAAATGTTCTTGGTCTTGCAATAGTTCTTTTCAACCAGTGCGCCAAATTTATGGGTGAATGATTTGTAAGAGATTTGATGGTACCGTTAGTAGACTGAAAAGGTTCACGGGTTTCGATGGTTCACGATTTTTCGGTGTCTGCCTACCTGTGAATAGTGTGGTACATCTGTCTGTTCAGAAGGCATGAGAAAATCGACAGCATGTGGTAGCAACATGAAGGGGACGAAATAATAGGGGTATTTTAAACTATGTAGATCAAAGATAGGTAGGTACCTATACAATAAATTTGGTGCAAATTTTCTATAATACTGGACTTTGATAGTGAAAATTCAATCAATGCATGAAATAATATAAACATACACCTTCTCTTCAATGGGTTATCATTTGGAAACACCAAAAATTGATTACATTTATGTTTTCATTCTTATCACGTGTTTTTAATTACAGATTGAATGATTAGTAGGTACCCTATAACATAGGTGGGAATTCAGGAAAAACCAAACCCCTAAATATTTAGTATCAGTGTGTAGTTCTGATGAATGAAGAAAAGTGAATATTTTTAGCTTTCCTTGAAATCAGATAAATTTCTAAGTAATATGTGCCAGAAAGTTTTTCTACATTTTTCAATCGGGGCGTTTTTGTAATTCGTATAAGTATAGATTATATTAATTGAGTGGTATGTCTTATGTGCGTTTGTTTCAATCACCAGCTTGGCTGTAGGGAAAGTTTTAAGGAATTTTTGACTCCATCCTGCTAGGCGGCCTGCCGTTAAGTTGCAACAACTACGTTACAACCTGATTTTGCACCTATTCTATCGGGTCTTCAAAAAAAAAACCAATCGAAGATTGCTTTGATTACGAAAACGTACGTCGCATTACTGTTTATTTATTGGACAGTATTATTGACAAATCATTTTGACATTAAAGTTCATTGAGAAAATTAAATAAAAATATTGCTAAGACATACGTTTAAAAAACCATAGCAATCTTAGATTGGTTTTTTTTTTTTGAAGACCCGATATATAGTTGTATTCACCTTTTCAGGAGACAAGAGTTAGAAATTTATAGACTTAGTGAAGTTTATCCTAAAATAAAACTATTGAAGGTCAAACAACTAAGAGTACCTCATTTTTATCCCACATTTATGAAAAAATTCAAGTAAACTTTGAAAAAATACATAAAAACCTCATATTCTGGTAACTTCATGAGAAATCCTAGAATGGCCGCCTACAAACTCTACGCCTAAATTTCTACAAAGTGGCGTTGTTATAGAAGAACCTTCATTCGACTCTAGTCGGGATACAAGACTTTCCGACTGAAATTAAGCCTTTCTCTTGGTATTTCTGATCAAATCTGAATCTTACCCAATATACCTGGTCGTTTTAACCAACCACGCAAAAACGTCTATAAAGGAGAAGAACAATTACCGCATTATAAACGAGATATAGATATGTTTTACTAGTGCGTACGTAAGCACTTTGATAAGAGACTAAAATCTAAACACAGTTTAACTCTTAGTTTTTGGAAGATTGCCCAAACGAACATTACGGACCGAAGATGTATCAAGTATGTAAGCCCCGATCCTTATTTATTGAGAAACGCATCCAAATCTAAGCGACTGGAAAATACATTCCTGGATTGTGTTGAGGAGCGTTAGTTCTAAGTAGTTTTCACCATCTCTTCTTTACCTCATGCTCTTATCATTATGTATAGTAGCCGCCATAGATATTCGAGATTCGTACTAAAAAGTATGTCCCTTTATCAGCCGGCCTGCATTTAGTCAGGAGGTCAGGTATTATTTGATCTGCCACCTCCACAATTAGAGAGTTACTGCAGAAATATCATCGCTTCCGGGGGATTTGCTCTTGAAGTTTTCAACTTGCCTGTCAAGGGTCTTGTTCATTCCACTAATGATTATTCCTCTGCACATTTTTGTCTTCACACGTACGTTTAGTACTCGGTTTAGTATTTGTTTGAACCTCTGCCCTTTTTACGATGCTTTGGTTTGCATGTTGTTTCCAATTTTATAGTATTTGGAGGTTACTGCTTTGTTGCTCAAGTACGCAGAAGGAACTGTTGCAAGTAGAACTTACCGGAATCAACCTGATTTTTTCGCATTCATCCAAAAATATATCAAGTGGATGTATTGAACCTTTATGACGTAAAGATGTATTTCACATACATATTTCAAAAACATATATCGTCTCTCTCCAATGGCGCTACATCCCAAATTGGGCCCTAGCCTCCGATATCTTTCGACTCGACACGTTGTGATCCAAGGCTTCTCTTCTCCATACGTCTGAGCGTCCTGTGCCACTTCCCCTTCTCATCTCTTCCGGCCTTTTTCCACACATTCGGCTATTAAGTGCTCTATTTGGAAGTCTCTCTTCTGGCATTCTGATCGCATGACCCGCTCATCGAAGTCTTTGCAGCCTGATGCAGTTTGAGATGGGAGCTTCTCTGAACAGTTGTGGTATAGTTCATGATTGTAGCGTGTTCTCCATATCCGATTCGCATTTTCCCCCCCACAGAATTTTTCGAAGGATTTTTGTTTCAAAAATCTCAGGCTTGCTTTCCAGAATGTCAGTCATGACCCATGTTTCGCATCCAGGACATAGAACTGGTTCGATACATGATAGTTTTATATAGATTCTGATCTTAGATGGATGATTTTGGAGAGAAATACTTGTGACAAAGAGAATAATGTCTTGTTTGCCGTCTGTATTTTGTTTGGTATTTCGCCTTCCTCGTTCTCCAATGTGTTTATATTCAGATATTTGAAGCTCACAAACGCTTCAAGATCAACTCTAGTGCGTGATTGCTGTTTTTTCTTATTCGGATCTGTGTTAGCGTCTTTATTTTTTGTGTGTTTATGTGTAGTGTATACATATGTCCATTGTTTTTGGCTTCTCTCTTCAGATTCATATATATTTCTGGTGTGTCTTCTCTTCTGCTCTACGAGACATAATGTTTGTCATCTGAGTATGCCGCTAATTGTACTGACTAAGATCTAAATAGGTTTGATCTTCCTACGTCTATTTTCGGATTACGTGTTCTAGCTTCTCATTGCTCGAGTCCTTTAATTATGTTGAACATGTCAGTCATGTCATTTTGTATTCGCACTGTCGTCGTTGTAGTGTCCATTGTGGCTTTTACTAGTTTGATATAATTGGGAGGGTTGCTGAACCTATGAAGAACAACCCAGGGTGAAAAAATATCATGATATTTATATAAATATCAAAATATCCGATATTTTATGATATATATCAGATATACAGTGTGTCCACTTAAGTTCGCAGCATATGGGAAACTTTTTTTATTATCAATCTTACGAAAAAAAGTTATTCTTTATAAAAGTTTCTGCTTCTTGAAAAAATAGTATTAAACTATTTAAACTTCAAATAGCATGAACAGGGTGATTAGAAAAATATACAGAGTTTTTTGGTGAAAGTAGAAAAAAAATGGCACGTCACTATTTTTTAAAACCTTTGATATTTTTTTCAGATTAAGCAAGTCAGATTACAGTCAAAAGATACCTTTAGTTATCACAAATAAACCTACCAAATTTGAAAAAAAAAAATTGGAAAAGGGATTTTTGAGCTGAAAAGACGATTTTTTCTAAAACTTTGACATCTTATATCTCAGAAATTACGCATTTCCGGGCACATGTTTATGGAAACTTTTTTTCTTAAGGAATCACATCCTGAACTTACGAACCGTACTTAGGAAACACCCTGTATATTTTTCTATTTGTTGACCACCGTGTACATGCTATTTCAAGTTTTAATAGTTTAATATTATTTTTTCAAGAAGCAGAAACTTTTAAAAAGAATAACTTTTTTTCATAAAATTGATAATAACAAAGTTTCCCCTATTCTGCGAACTTAAGTGGACACACTGTATATCCAATATGTGATATTTATGATATTTTCATAAAACCAGTTTTTTCCAGCTTCTACTAGAATTCTACTTTCATGACGTCCGGTTGCCTACTAGCAACCGACATCATTGCCTGTACTGTACGCGATAAATAGCTTGCTGGTGACGTCACGAAAGTAGGATTCTAGTAAAATTCTACTTGGCCTTTCCTGGAAACCTATTTTTGAAACCAGGGACCAGCGTTCTCATGGGAACGATTGCTCTGTCTTTCTCAATAATATTTAAACGATAGTATGAGTAACAAAGACGGGACACTCATTCTCATGGGAACGCTGCTCCCTTGTTCCAAGAA